TTTTCCCCATTTTCCTGCTGTTTTCCCCATTTTCCTGCTTTTTTTCCCCATTTTCCTGCTGTTTTTCCCCATTTTCCTGCTGTTTTTCCCCCTTTTCCTGCTGTTTTTCCCAATTTCCCGCTGTTTTTCCCCATTTTCCCCCCCGTTTTTTTCCATTTCCCCGCTGTTTTTCCCCAAAACTCCCCCAATTTTTCTTCCTTTCCCGTTTTTTTCCCCGATTTCCCGATGTTTGTCCCCGTTCCAGAGCTGCTGGCCTCCTACAACGACGAGGACATTTACCTGTTCGACTCGGCGCACAGCGACGGTGCTCAGTACAGCCGGCGCTACAAGGGGCACCGCAACAACGCCACAGGTGGGGAAACACCTCAAAAACACCCCAAAAACATCTCAAAACAGCCCAAATTACCCCAAAATCCAGCCCAAAATACCCCAAAATACCCCAAAATCCAACCCCAAACCAGCGCAGTACAGCCAGTGCTACAAGGGGCACCGCAACAACGCCACAGGTGGGGAAACACCTCAAAAACCCCCAAAAAACACCCCAAAAACATCTCAAAACAGCCCAAATTACCCCAAAATCCAGCCCAAAATACCCCAAAATACCCCAAAATCCAACCCCAAACCAGTGCCCGCTGTCCGGCGCTACAAGGGGCACCGCAACAATGGGGAAACACCCCAAAAACACCCCAAAAACACCCCAAAATCCAGCCCAAAACAGCCCAAATTACCCCAAAACACAGCCCAAAATGCCCCAAATTACCCCAAAATCCAGCCCAAAATCCCCCAAAATACCCCAAAATCCAACCCCAAACCAGCGCAGTACAGCCGGCGCTACAAGGGACACCGCAACAATGGGGAAACACCCCAAAAACACCCCAAAATCCAGCCCAAAACAGCCCAAATTACCCCAAAACACAGCCCAAAATGCCCCAAATTACCCCAAAATCCAGCCCAAAATGCCCCAAATTACCCCAAAACCAGCGCAGTACAGCCAGTGCTACAAGGGGCACCGCAACAACGCCACAGGTGGGGAAACACCCCAAAAACACCCCAAAACAGCCCCAAATACCCCAAAACCAGCCCAAATTACCCCAAAATCCAGCCCAAAATCCCCCAAATAACCCCAAAACCAGGGCAGTACAGCCGGCGCTACAAAGGGGCACTGCAACAATGCCACAGGTGGGGAAACACCCCAAAAACACCCCAAAAACACCAAAAAATACTCCAAATTACCCCAAAAACACCCCAAAACACCCCAAATTACCCCAAAATCCAGCCCAAAATACCCCAAAATACCCCAAAATCAACACAGTACAGCCGTCGCTACAAGGGGCACCGCAACAACGCCACAGGTGGGGAAACACCCCAAAAACATCTCAAAACAGCCCAAATTACCCCAAAATCCAGCCCAAAAACACTCCAAAATACCCCAAATTACCCCAAAATCTTTTTCCCCATTTTCCCCTGTTTTTTTTCCCTGTTTTTTTCCTGTTTTTCCCCATTTTTCCCTGTTTTTTTCCCCATTTTCCCCTGTTTTTTTCCCGTTTTTCCCCGTTTTTTTCCCCTGTTTTTTTTCCCATTTTCCCGTTTTTCCCCATTTTCCCCCGTTTTTCCCCATTTTTTCCAGTGAAAGGTGTGAATTTCTACGGCCCCAAGAGCGAGTTCGTGGTGAGCGGCAGCGACTGCGGCCACATTTTCCTCTGGGAAAAATCCTCCTGCCAGATCGTGCAGTTCATGGAAGGCGACAAAGGCGGAGTGGTGAGGCCCCAAAATTCCCCAAATTCCCAATTTCCCAGGAATTTTCCCTGGATTCATCCCCTTTTTCCCCTGTTTCCACCCCAAAAAAGCAGCGTTGTTTTCCCGTTCCTGTTTTCCGGGGCTTTCAGGTTGTTTTGGGATCCCAAATTTGGCCGATCCCGAGGATCCTGCGGGATTTTTCCAGGTGTTTCCTGCTCCAGGCCGCAGGAAAGGGAAGTGTGTGTGCTGGGAATGGCCCCATCCCGAATTTCCTCTGCTGGGAATTCGTGGCTCCCACGATTTGGGACGGCCAGGAAGGACCCCTTCCCTTTTTCCCTCTTTTCCCCCCTTTCTTCCCCCCCCTTTTTTTCCCCTTTTCCCCTTTTTCTCCTCTCCTTTCCCAGTTTTTACCCTGGTGAGCTGCCTGGAGGTGCAAATCCCCCATTCCCAATCCCATTCCCAATCCCATTCCCAATCCCATTCCCAATCCCATTCCCAATCCCATTCCCAGCCCCACAATTCCCATTTTTCCCCCACAATTCCCATTTTTCCCATTATTTTTCCAGGTGAACTGCCTGGAGCCGCACCCTCACCTTCTCCAATCCCATTCCCAACCCCACAATTCCCATTCCCAATCCCAT